GTGCCGCGGCTGCGCGGCTGGTGACAGGTACCCGGGGTGGTGCTGGGAGGCTTCGGGATAGGGAGAGGGTCTGGGGCGTCGGGCGACCCTGCTCCCAGGTCACCTTGAGCTTCCGCCTCTGCCCTCGGTTTCCGCCTCGCGAGCCTCAGCTCTTCGCGAGCCACCCAAGGTATCCTTAGTGGTCTTCCCCGCGAGGTGGCGAGTTCGCGGCTGGCTGCCGGCTGTCCTCAGCCGTCTTGGAAGAGCTTTGAGACCCGCACGTCCAAGTGCAGAAACAGGAAGTTCCCTGACGTGAAGTTAGCCCGAGCCTGACCCTAAGTGGCCTAAGAACCAGCACTTACCAGAAGTGATCGGAGAACTGCTTTGTCCTTGTCTAGGGTTCTGTTTTCCCCAGAACGAATTCGGGTGATGCGTGTTAGCTGCACTTTTCATTAATGCTGGAATTTGTTGGCTGGGAATTGGAAGATCCGGTTTCATTTCTAGTGTGGAACCTGCCAGAGGAATGCCTCACCAGAAGTTAGCGATGGCAGCCTTCCTTGTCGTTGGCTGAAAGATCCGGCTTCTTTAGCTTGCTGCTAGATTTGAGAAGGAGCATAGTTTGTTCATTCTAAGACCTGGGGTCTTATGACTTACTGCTCTTTGGAATCATTCATTGGTGCACTTGCTAGTCAACTTTATATAAAGTGCCCTCTTTTCTTTTTTTAAATTTTTATTTATTTATTTGTTTGTTTGTTTTTGAGACAGGGTCTCACTATGTAGTGGAGACTGACCTGGAAGTCACTATGTAGCCCAGGCTGATCTCGAACTCACAGCGATCCTCCTGCCTCAGCCTCCCAAGTGTTGGGATTACAGGTGTGAGCCACCATGCCCAGCTTCTGCCCTCTTTTCTTGAAATATCCTTTTTTTTTTTGGTACTGGGGATCGTACTCAGGATCTTGTGCTTGCTAGGCAGGCAGCAGCACCACTGAGCTAAATCTCCAGCCCACTTGAAATAGCTTTTACACTGGCAGAAGTTTGAACACTTATTTTATTTTATTTTATTTTGAGACAAGGTCTCATTGTGTAGCCCAAGGCTAGCCTCACACTTTGGGCAATCCTCCTGCCTCGGCCTCCCAAGTTCTGGGATTACAGGCATGCACTGCTATGCCTGGCTTGCCCACATTTTAAATATGTAGTTAATGCTACAGAACTAGAGATGATGATAGCCTTTCCCCTTGACTGACTTTTCATACTCTTAGCTGAAGCCCAATTTATTTAAGGAAGTGAACAGAATACTTTCTACAAGGGAGAATACGCAGGACTATGAAGAAAATTCATTTGGAAGATTTCTGCAGTTACCTGATATTTTTATACCAAATATATGGTAACTAACCAAAACCAGGTGTATGTGGTTCATAGCAAATGGTTTTGCTAATATGGATAAGTGTGTAATAGTAGGTTTAATTAGCTGAGAAGCTAATTTCTCAGAAAGGGTGCCTCCTAATATTTTCTCACTAGTATATGTGCACTTGCAGATTGCATGTCCTCTTTAAAGAATTTGTTAGTGCCTCTGTTTGAAAATGAAAGAAGAGAAAGTCTGTAACTTAGATTTTAGAATCATTGTGTCTGTGCCCCCAAAACTGAAAAGCATTTACCACATGTAATTTTTGTTTATCTTTTCTGTATCTTGCTGTAGATAAATAAGCAAGGAGTAGTATTTTTCTTTAAACATACTAGGTAGGGTTTTGGCCAGTTTACCAATAGTTGATATAGTTGGGCCTAGAACTTGTTAAATAATTTTGGGGGGGTACCGGGGATCGAACTTGAGACCTCATGCTTGTGAAACAGGTGGTGGAACCGCTGAGCTAAATCCCGCCCTAAAGAATGTTTTATGTTAATATGTCATGCCACTGGCATTGTGCCTATGATCCTGGAGTGCTACAGAGCACAGTGTGACAGCTGTGATCATTCAGACTATTGATTTAGGACCACTAGTGCCAGAATGATAAGGGACCTCATAAAATGGAGATACTGTGTCCTCAAACAAGACCCCTCAATGCGATTCTTACAGTTTCTCTGGGCGGCCCTTTTCTCTGTAATTAACCATGGGACCTGGAATGTGGGGCAGTGTGGCAAAGCTTTTGCTGCTCCTCTTCCTTCACCCTCCCCTCTCCTCAACACTGGTTATTAGACCCAGGGCCTTCCAGCTGAACTACATCCCGAGGCCTTATTTATTTAATTTTAGCATTTTGAGACTGTGGCTGGGTCACTGTGTGGCCTAGGCTAAGCTCGTACGTGAGTGCTGAGATGACAGGAGTGTGCCACCAAAAGCTCCTTAGTGTACAGTTGTCCGCTTACTCTCTTCTGGAGTGGTGCTGTACCCCAGCTTAAGAATATATACTCTTGGGCCGAGGATTTAGCTCAGTGGCACTGCGCCTGCCCTGCAAGCGCAGGGTCCCGAGTTCATTCCGTGGTACAGGAAAAGAAAAAAAAAATATATATATATATATACACTTTCTAAAACAGTGTGAGGAGACCTCTGGGTAATTCACAGGCACGTAGGCTTTGAGGGGGCGGGGTTGAGACAGGGTCTCACTATGTAGTTCAGACTGACGTGGAACTCACTATGTAGCCCAGGCTGGTTTTGAACTCACAGATCCTCCTGCTTCTCACTATGTAGTTCAGACTGACGTGGAACTCACTATGTAGCCCAGGCTGGTTTTGAACTCACAGCCATCCTCCTGCCTCAGCCTCCCGAGTGCTGGGATTACAGGTGTGCACCACCACGCCTGGCTAGGCTTTTCTTGTTTTGGTGGTACTGGAGAATGAACCCAGGGCCTTCATACCTGAAGCAGTTCTTCAAGGCCTCTTTCAAGAGAGTCTTTAGTTGTGCTGTTGTGGCTGCCTTGATATCCAGAATCTCTCATAAACATTTCCCTTTCATAGTCATTATGACTTTGGGGAAGAGCTAGAAGTTGCATGGTACCAGATCTGGTGAGTAAGATGAATGAAGACACACCATGTTTTTATGCTCTGCCTTTGCATTGGATGGTACTTGGCAACAGTGTTCACCATAATTTTTATCACATCTCATAAAGACACAAAGGAGTATTTTCAGAACTGCTTCAGAAGGTAGCAAGATGGAGAGGATAAATGTGTTGGAAGCAAAGGGACTATTTTGTTGTTGTTGTTGTTGTTTTGGTACCGGGGATTGAACTCGGGTCCTTGCACTTGCAAGGCAGACGGTGGAACCACCGAGCTAAATCCCCGGCCCAAAGGAACTATTTTGAAGGGAATTAATGGCAGCGTATCTTTTACTATAATAAATTTTTAAAAATGTAAGTATTCACTGAATATTTTGCTCAGTCCTGTATCATCCTACTGTGGAACTTGTAGACATGATTCCAACCCCCAGTTACTGTTTGTGAATGTTAGGTAGCATGGGGGTATGAATGTAAAGCCAGCCCATTGCTCAGTAAAGAGTAGGATTTCCTGAGTGGCCTTTTGTCCTCCCCCGGTTCCCTTACGACTCTGGGTTCTGCCTGGGGTCACTGTGTGGTGATTTTCAGCTGTCCCTCATGATGAATCACCACTTTGTGGGAATTAATATATTTAGACACCTTTAGGACAAATTTTCAACATAGCCAGGATCATAATATTGCTTGAATGCTGTTCACACGCTCCTCCAGTTCAGAAACTGAATGACTTTTGGGGAGGATTTGTTTCCAGAGTATATGTTTGAAATGAGAACCAAGACCACCTGTCATGTAAAGGTACAAGATCCCAATAATGAATGTAACTGTACTGTACCAATGTACTAAAATGTACCAATAAACTCAATAAAAGAAAAAACAACAGTGTATGTTTGATAATGTATCACTCTCTGGTTTAGGAAGATAGTTTGCTTTTCTTGTGATACAATGTTTTTCTACAAGGATTGATTCTAGAATAGCACTTGGCACTTTACAAAGCAGTTTTCATATTGCCATTTCATTTACTGTTTCTTACAGCGTGATTTCAGTGTCTGCCTCTGTCTTCACCTGGACTTCTCTCTGTGTCTCTTCATGTTGTTTCTGTTTGTCTCTGTGTCCCAGTTTCCCTTTTTTATTTTACTAGTTACATTGGATTAGCCCATGCTAACTTGCTCACCTCCGTGAAGACTGTTCACATTTTGAAGGTCTGGAATTTTGAAATTCAACTTATTTTTATGGAAGATTAAGTACAACCCAAAATACACATTTATCATTTACGCTTCATCTGTTTCAGCTTTATTTACCTCATACTTTATTCATTCTTGGTTTTTAAAACAATCATAACTTGGTGTGCTGCCAACTGACTTTTATACTTCTGTATTGTTTAGACTCCTCAGGAAATGAAACGGAGCCTCTGTAGGAAGGAATGTAATGAACTACCTACCTTTAACATGGACCAGTCACTCAACGAGTATCTGTTGGACTGTATCTGTATTAAGTGCTGCATTGTTGGGAAGGGGTCTTACTTTTGCAACTTTAATGTTCTTTTGTATCTCTAGGTATTTATATTGTTATTTTGTGTCTCTAAGTATTAAGATTTAAACATGACCTTTTTTTCTTTCTAGGGTTTTGCTGTAAAATGGGACTTCTAATTGCACTCACTGGGCTGTGGCTGTTCTCAGTAAAAGCAGACTCAAAAGCCATTACAACCTCTCTAACAACAAAGTGGTTTTCCTACCCACTGTTGTTAGAAGCCAGGTAAGACCTTCTTTTCTTTCACATATTTGAATATAAATTTGGGCTCTTCCAGGAAATGAATGAATATTCAGCAGCTTTTAGGAATGAGGTTATGATCCTCAGATATATTTATTAATGTGCTCTGTGGTGTATAAAGGTTGATAGGGCACAAATCTTTAAGTAGGACAGGGCTCTGTTGATATAGAGATGCTCAGGAACTTTCTTAGACAAATATATTGAGTTGGTTAAATTATTATGTTATCTTCCAGAAAAAGTGTAAGCGTGGCTATAAGGGAAGAGAGTGTTGTAGTCATTTATTTATTATTTATTTATTTTTGGACCTTGAGCTTGTGAGGCAGGCGGCAGAACCACTGAACATCCCTGGCCTGAGAAAGTTGTATTTAAATGAAATGGTCTACTTCAGTGAGGAAAGTTTTAAGGGATTTTTAATAACTACAAGAGGACAGAGCTTGGCGAGGCTGGGAAAAGAGGGCATGAATCTCCCAAAAACCCTGTTAAGTGAAGACCCTGTTAAGAGAGGGCAGGAGATGGGTGGGCGACCAAGGGAATGACTGGATTTTTATCTGTTCTAAAATGTCTGTGTTCTGCACATAGCCTCTACAAAGTCAAATCATGAAATTATCTTTTTTTTAGAATTTAAAAAAGTTAACTTTATTACAAAATAATATATATTAAATAAAAATTCAAAAACTAAAAATTTAAATATTTTAAAACTAAAAACTAAAATGGTAATAAATTACTATTTTTGTGATTGGCCTTTAGTGGTTTAAGAAATTATCTTAATTAAAATTGGTAGTGGGCTGGGGAATTGGCTCAGTGGTTCCGCAGTCTGCTTTGTAAGCGCAAGGGCCTGAATTCAATCCCTGGTACAAAAAAATAAATAAAATAAAAATAAAATTGTATTATATATATATATATAACAATTGTATATTTTTAAATTGGCAAAATAAAATATAGTCAATGATTTCTTGGGAAATTTTCAATTCCAAGTGTGTTTTTTAGTTAGTGTTTATAATATATCATAGATACCTCTTTTTTTTTTTTTTAGTTTTTCAGTATTGGGGATTGAACCCAGGGATTTCACATTAAGTAATACAGTGCTCTTTTCTTTTTTCTTTTGAGATAGGGTCTCACTAAGTTGCCTAAGCTGGGCTCAAATTTGGGATCTTCCTGCCTCATTTTCCCAGAGTATGTGATTACAAGCATTAGCTACCATACTTGGCTAAGATAAAGCTTTACATAGACAGCTTTATATTCTTATGCACAGAAACTTATTTTAATCATATTGCAGGTAGTGTATAGTTAGGATTTAAGGGAATTTTTCCAAAGGATAAATATAGTAGAGGAAGCATTTCTCAGTATTTGATATTAGAAATCTGAACTGTCACGTCACTTCAGTTAACTTTGTGGTCTGTTTTTGAGCTTAGAATTTTGTCGTCTAACTTTTCTTCCTTAGTTCCTTAAAACATATGAATGAAGCATTGTGTTATGTTGGTTACGTGGGTAATTGCCCTGCCAATGGAGAACCTCCTTTGGTGTGGGGAAGAGGACCTGTGGTAACTGATCTGGACACCCAGGGCCCGGTGGACTTTGTGCTGAGCAGACTCCTTCCTAACTTCTCTGTACCTCTCTCTGCTCAGCAGTGAAATGGCAAAAGAAAAAGAGAATTCCACCAAACAAGTCCCAGCACCGCTGTACGTTGCATAGTGGTTTTACAGTTCTAGTGTGATAGATGGGTTGAGTTCCTCAGATACTTTGTTGGATTACAGAGTAGTTGTACAAGTGAAGTAGGAGATCTTGGACTGCGTGAGCCAGGACTCTGGTAACTCGTGTTTTGTTTTGCTTTGCTTTTCCTTTTTGTAATTGTATTTTGGATAATTTGGTGTAAATCTAATCCATAGAAATTTATTATTACTTTTGAAATAATTTTGAACAATTAAGTGTAACACATGTTTCATGACATCTTGCTTAACATGCTTAGCTGAGTTACATTTGACTTCGCTCCCCTGTATTGATGCTGACTGGTATTTTGGAATTTGTGGTTTGTTCCGAAAGATTCTTAGGACATGTACCCGTGGACTTTTAAGAAAGAATGCCAGGGTCGGGTGTGGTGGCTCATGCCTGTAATCCCAGCACTCTAGGAGGTTGAGGCAGGAGGATCGTTGTGAATTCAAGACCAACCTGGGCTACATAGTGAGTTCCAGATCAGTCTCAACTACATAGTGAGACCCTGTCTCAAAAAAAGAAAAAAAAGAATGCCAAAATTGTCAACCCCACTTTCTCAGTTTTTTTCAGTTGCCTCGATCTTTGTGGAGTGGGTAGGCTCTAGATTCCGTCACCAAATTCTTTGTCACCTTTAAAAGGATCTGTAACATCCCTTTTCACGATGTCCCTGGTCATTATTTTTAGACCTCCATTCTCCTGTGTCTATTTGTAAACATGTGGCCATGATAGTGAAATTTGCAGGGAACTCAAGAAGGAGCTCTGCTTATTTGAAAGTACTCTGTATTTCCTTCCAGAGCTTGCAGAGGCTTCCATTCTTCTCCTGTGTCTGATAATGGCTTGTGGCTCCCTGTTCATTTGGGTAAAGGTGAATGTACAAGGCATGCAGTTGTCGTAGACCTTGTGCCAGGCTCATGTCTGTCCCTTAGAGACTAAAAATATTCCTGTGCGCATTTTTAGATTGCTTCATTTACTAACTTTGTGCCTTTAAGCAAGTTCATAATGTCTCTAAGTGGCAGCTTTTTTGGAAATGGTTATTACTGAGGGTGGTTGTGTGAATATGTAGATACGGGTGAATGTGCTGTGCCTGGTGACTGTTGCATACATTCCTACCCCTTTCCCCGAGCCGTGTTTGGAAGAGCTCCTTTTCTTACATCACAGTACCTTTGGAAAGTTTACCATTGGATTTGTGCTACCTATTTGTAGGATTCTTTTGGGGTAGTATCATTGAAGTCATAGATGACAAACTTTATTATGACTTTCAGAAGGCTTATAAATGGAGACAGTGGTATAATATGCATTCCATGTACCCATTAGGCTCCCTGCCCCCATACTGGAGATTGAGCCCAGGACCTTTTTATTGAACCATATCCCCAGCCCTTTTCATGTATTTGTTTTTCTGAGACATAATCTCACTGAGTCACTTGAGCTTGTGATCACTCTCTTCAGCCTCCCAGAATCCTGGGATCACAGGTGTGTGTCACCACACCCAGCTCACCAGTCACTGTGAACAGTTACCAGTCCCAATATAGTAATCACCATCACTGGCATATTTTAAAGGAAATACTTTAGTAATTTTATCTGTAAAACTACAGAGTTTTCCTCAGAGGCAGAGATATAAGAAGCTAAAAAAACAATAAAAATGCAAAATTAGTTGTACTGTGACAGAAATGGCAGTGTTCCTTTTTCATGATGTCTTCCATTATTCTCCTCTCCCCTGGATTATTTCTGTGGATTTACTAGTTAATTTTTTTAAGACTATTCTCAGCTTAGACCTGTAAGACTTATTTATGTAGTGGTATGAAAAAGAAATATATTTCAAGAAATTTTCCTATAAGAAAAACATTTAGGCTGAATGAGTCTGTTCTCACAACTAAAGAATATGTCATCCCTTCTACTAACTTATCTTGTTAATGTGGCTTCGACTTATGAATTTAGTGTTTATTTGTACATTATGATTCAGAACCTATTTTCTTAGACTGTAAAGTATTTTACGGTTACTCTGATACTTACATGAGTTACTAGAGAGCCTAGAGAAATACAGAGGCATTAAATAATTTAATATATTATGATAATGGATATTTTCAGAAATCTATTTTTAGAGAAGCTGTGCATTACCAGGAAATGTTTCTTATTTTTCCCATATTTCTGTGTCTAGCTGTGGAGTAGAGTGAGAGTTGTACACCCCAGTGTTGACAAGTAATGGGAAAGTCTTCCTTTGGCTAGGTAAGCTGAGATCCAGATCTGTAGTTTGCTTTAAGACAGTGAAAGATCACCACTACATTAGTTCTCTGGCTTGGAAGTGAAGATAACCAATTTATGTGAATCACTTACTCAATTATTACAGACATTTTCTTTTAGGGATTTTAGACTCTTGACTGAAGGGAAATACAGAATGGCAATTATTTTAGGTTAACAATGAAAAGTGGAAAACGATTAAGATGATATTAACATTTTAGATCTGATTTTGTTAGATCAATATTAATTTTAACATAAATCTAGTGATTGGGGCCGGGGATTTAGCTTAGTGGTCTGCCACCTGCTTTGCAAGCACAAGGTTCTGAGTTCGATCCCCAGTACCAAAAAAAAAAAAAAAAAAAAAAAAAAAAAAAAAAAAAAAGAAACAAACAAACAAAAAAACTAATGATCTCTAATGATCTTGAAAGTTTGGATTTATGGGTGTTAAAAAATTATAACATGCTTCCTTTAGACTCCTTGAAAATTTTCTAGGGTTTATATTTACTGTGGAAGAACATTTAGGCAAAACATGTTTTTTGTTCTTTGTAAGGTCTGTCAGAAAATAAGTGAGCAGAACTAGTACTAGAATTATTAATTCCTAATTCTGCTTCCAGTACTGACAGCATTTTTGTGTATGGGGCTTTTATAAGCTTTTTCAAATTTTGGAACTTTCTTATTGTGGCAACATTTTTATTATTTCAAATATCTTAAATAGCTGTTTAGGTAAATATGTTATTAATAGCTAGCAAGCTAGTAAGACTTATCTTCAAGAAAGACATATTATACATAAAAAGTATAATATATAAAAATTAATAGCCAAATTGTGGACATTTGGAAACTTCAAAACCTTTTTATTCTCTGTAGTAATATAGTTTACATTAAAAGATTTTATGAAGTTTTATTTCTGACATTTCCCCCTTTTCTCTCAGTGAATTTTTAGCAGAAGACAGTCACGAGAAATTTTGGAATTTTGTAGAAGCCAGTCCAAATATTGGATCAGCCGATCATCACGGTAAAATTGAAGCAAATGCTTCTTTGACTTTGATGTCTGGAAAAATACTAGAAAAGTGTTCTCTTTATAGTATGTGTGATGTGGCAGTTCATGGAAAGCATTTTTTTAGTTTTAAATGGCTATAGAGTTGCAGTGCTAGCCAGGAAGAGCCAGTACAAACCAAATACTGTGATTATTTTAGACTCTAGAGGTTGCCTCAGGGCTACCTGCATGTTAAGCATGTGCACTATCACAGAGCAGTGGTCTGAGCTCCAAAAGATCTGCAGGACTGGGGATAGAACTACCTCCCCAGCTCTTTTTATTTATGTTGTGACAGTACCCTGTCTAGCCTGGCACTTGTCATTCTGTCTCTGCCTTCCAAGTAGGTGGGGTTACAGGTGTGTGCCACCACGTCTAACTCCAATATTATTTTTTAAGGAGATGAGATCTTACTATGTTGTTCAGGCTGGCCACGAACTCCTGGGCTCAAGCTATCCTCCTGGCTCACCCTTCCAAGTAGCTGGGACTACCGGCATAAACCACTATATCCATTCCCAAATAATTATTTCTGATGCAGTTTGTAACTTTGGCTATAAGTAGTACCCTCCCATGTTTTTATTCTGTTTTGTTCTTTTATTAAAGTGCTATGTGAATATTTTGTGGAAGTACATTTTATTTTAAATCATTTGGTATTTAATACCCATCTGATTTATGGGTATTAAAATTCACCCTTTCTTATGAACTAATTACTCAACTGACCTGTTATCTGTTAGGCATGTTGTCATTAAGTTAGTGCCATCCAGAATGTTTTCCATTATGCCCACTGGCCACTCAAGCTGAGTGTCAAGGTACCAAATCATGGCCTGGCTTAACTTTTTCAGTTTTTATCACAGTAATATATAATTTAATAATTGTCTGAATCTTTTTTGTGTGATTGAAATGCATAAAGGTTTCAAATAAACATCTTTTAAGTTGTGGTTATGTAATTTTAGTCAACTAGAATTGTTTAAGTTATCAAAAAACCATTTTACTTTTAAGATTGCAATACAGGGCTGGGGATTTAGCTCAGTGGATCCGCCGCCTGCCTCGCAAGTGCAAGGTCCCAAGTTCGATCCCTGGTACAAAAAAAAGATTTCATGATACAGATTTATCAAAGGGTCTTTTAAGTGAAATTTGAACAGTGATATTTGAAATGCAATTTCAGTATAAATGATGTATATTGTTGATTAGACGATTAAACTTAGAGGAGTATGAATTCTTGGAGAAGTGATCATAAAAATATGTTAAACATTTTGTTTATTTGAGGTGTGTTTTTTGTATTCTTACCACCTAAAGTTTCACACCATGAATATTTTGGCAACATTTTTGTTTTTGTTTTTGTTTTTGGTACGGGGGATCAAACTCAGGCCCTAGTGCTTGTGAGGCAGGTGCCCGAACCACTGAGCTAAAATCCCCGGCCCTTTGGCAACATTTTGAGTTATTTCTTTTCTAATTTTTTTTATGTAGAAAATGTTACTGCAGTATAGAACCATTTATATTCTGCTTTTAAGAATGTTGATACTTTTCATTTTAAAAGTAAGGATTTTATTTGAGTAGCTAGTATATGGTTCAGAAGTCAAAGCTAGATAAAAGGCTATACACAGAAAAATCTTTTTTTTTCTTGTTCCGTTTCTGGTTTCTTCCTTGCCTTTTATAACCATTTTTAATTAGTTTACTCTCCAGTATTTTTTACAACATATCCATATAAACACATGTATAATATACATATTTTTATTTCTCGTTTTTTTGGTAAAAAAGATAGCTTATTATGTACATTGTATATCTTACATTTTTCATTTACCTGAGGATTTTTTTCATGCTAATGTGTTGATTTTTTCCCCCCTTTCACATAATTTGGTTCAACTTTTTGCTTAAATACTTCTTAAACTTTATGGTTTTGTCAGTATCTTTTACTTTCTCATCCCACTGTTAACTTTTTAAAAAGTCACTTCAGTAGATAATGTATACTAGGTATCAAAGATAAAAGATAAATAAGTCATAGTCTGTACCTGTAGGGGCCCAAAACCTTGAGTGGGAGGTGGTGAGTAAATCATTTAGTAAATGATAGAAGTGAAAGGTGAGCAGAGAAACAAGCTGGGATTCAAGAGGAGATGTCACTAGGCTATTGCAGCATGGGGTAGGAATCGGGGTGACTTCCTGGAGTAGGTGATCTCCAGCTGATTCTTCCTTTGGGAATAGGTAGGTAGTTATCCAGGGAACTGGGAAGCTAGCAGTTCAGGGGAAGGGAATAGTTTGAGCAAAGAGAGGAGGACAGGAAATGTCCAGCTGCGTTCTTTTTTAAATTTGTTTGGTATCGGCGATTGAATGGAGGACCTTGCACTTGAGAAGCAGGCAGCAGAACCGCTGAGCTAAATCCCGGGCCCCCAACTCATTCTGTATCCAGGAAATTTTGAACATTTGACAAAAATTCAAAACAATATACTGGTAAAATTTTGCAGTCAAGGGCCGGGGATTTAGCTCAGTGGCACACGCCTGTCTTGCAAGCACAAGGTCCTGATTTCGATCCCCGATACCAAAAAAAAAAAAAGAAAAGCAATTTTGCAGTCACGTACCTTTGTAACCTATAGCTTTATGAACTATTTTATCTGGTTATCTCTAGTTTTATTAAATTATTTGCATTAATGTTCTTTCTTGACAGGTACTAATTATTCCTATTATCATGCAATATTGGAAACTGCATTTCAGTTTCTATCACCTCTACAGCAGAATTTGTTGAAATTTTGTCTGTCTCTTCGTTCCTATTCGGCTACAATTCAAGCCTTCCAGCAAGTAAGTCCAGTGCGTCTAGACAGTAGCATTTTTTAAGGTGTATGACTTGATGATGGGATACATTGCAGTTGCCATGGAATTGAATTGCAGAATTGTCACTTTTTCCCTGGAATTTGTGATTTATTTAAAAATAGTAAATAGATCTGATGTTAAGTGTTCAAATCACACGTTTTTTGTTTTTGTTTTTTCAGTTTTTTTTTTGAGACAAGGTCTTGCTGTGTCCAGGCTGGCCTTGAACTCACCATGGAGCCTAGGCTGGCCTCGAACTCATTGCAACCATCCTGCCTCAGCCTCCTGAGTGCTGGGGTTGCAGGTGTGCCCAACCTCAAATCACAAATCTTTAAAGATATAGTTTGTAGGGCTGGGGATTTAGCTTAGTGGTGTTGTCACCTGCCTCGCAAGTGCAAGGTCCTGAGTTTGATCCTTGGTATTAAAAAAAAAAAGGTATAGAGCCGGGCGTAGTGGTGTATGCCTGTAATCCCAGCACTTGGGAGGCTGAGGCAGGAGGATCACTGTTAGTTCGAGACCAGACTGGGCTACATAGTGAGTTCCAGATCAGTCTCAACTACATAGTGAGACCCTGTCTCAAAAACAATAAAAAAAAGTATAATTTGTACTTATTTTCATATAAGAAAAGGAAAAAATACACAAGAAAGAGACAAATGCTTTGTTTATGTAACACATTATTTCTTACTAAACCAGTGAATTTAAATCTGGTCACAACCTTTAGAACTAAAGGCAGTTCCCAGGAAATACAGCAGACAAGGTGTCATGTTGCATCACATGGATGCAGTCAGGAAAATCTAGCTTTAGGGAAACTGCTGTTAAGTGGTCTGGTTTCAGTAAATACATGAAAGAGGTAAAAAAGGGACAGAGCAATTTCAGATCAAGAGAGACTTCAAAAGTGTCAGCATAGTACAGAGATCTCGTTTGGATTTTGAGAAACAGGACAGCTGAAAAAAAATCAAAAAATGTGTATGTATCTCAGCTGAACATTTATTCAAAAAATGTCAATCATAAACCACTTTGTATTTTAAAACATACAGAACTGCTAATAACATATAGCATAATAAATTGTCATAATGCGAATAGACACCCTTGTACCTTCAACCCCAGTTAAGAAGTAGGACTTGGTTTTGCATTTTAGAAGCCCTGCTCCCATCCCAGCACCAGCTTTGGGGGGTGGTCTGAATTTATAGGTTCCCCACTCATCTTTTACTCCTGTGTATGTGGACTGTAGGTTTTCTTCAGGGACCATACTTTGTTGAGCACATACTTGTAATACAGTTAAATTAATTCACCTTTCTCCAAATTGACAGCTGGGTCTAGAGGCTTCATCCAAAAGGGATTTCTTCCATTTTACAACTCTGTAGGTGGTGCTGTGTTCTTCCATTTCCTAATTTCTGATTTATTCATATTCATTCATACCCCCCCCCCCGATTTAGCAGCCATTATTGCTTAATTCCTAATCTAATTATTTGGGAATTATAAAGTGATGACTCAGTCTGGCATTTATTATTTATTTGTTTCTGGAATGTGGACATAAAGAAGCACATAGCCTTAGCCAGGCGTGGTGTTGCAAGCCTGTAATCCCAGCACTTGGGAGGCTGAGGCAGGAGGATCACCAGCCTGGACTAGTGAGTTCTGGGCCAGCCTAAACTGCATAATGAGATTCTGTCTCAAAAAATCACAACCACAACCACAGCCAAACCAAAGCTAAAACCAAAACCAAATAAAACAAGAAGCATATAGCTTCATTGTTACTGTTTGGTGATATTGTTCTCATAGGAAAGGCCCAACACATTCTTAGTTCTTTGCCTTTATTTCACAGGATTCTAAATTTGTTTTACTAGGTTCCTTTTACTTTGACTATTTAAGTTTTTGTTTCATCTGTATTAGGTTAAATACATTTAACAGCGTTTACTCTCTTAACCATTTTAAATGCACAAATCAGTGATTTTAAGTGCATTCATTCATCTTCAGAACTTTTTTCATTTTTGGAAGCTGAAACTATACTCAAAATGCCCCCTCCCCTTTTCCCCCTCCTTTATTCTGCATACCTTGACAAGTGACCTACCTTCTATGTTGTGCCTCTGAGTTTGCTTGTTCTACATACCTCATATGAGCACAATCTTTAATGTTTGGCCTTTTGTACTTGGCTTGTTTCACATAGCACGATGATTTTAAGGTTCACCATGTATAAAGCAAGTATTGCCATTTTACTCCCCCTTTTTTTGGCTGAATAATTTCCCATTATTTTTATCTCACATTTTATTTATCCATTCTTTCCCTAGTGAAATTTGGGTAGATTTTACTTTTTGGCTATTGTGTATAATAACTGCTGTGGAGCATTGGTATACATTTATCTGGTTGAGTCTCTGCTTTTCAGTTCTTTTGGGTTTCTACATAGAGGTGTAATTCCTGTATCATATGGTAAGTTTGTGTTTAACTTTTTAAGGAACCAACACTCTGTTTTGAATGACTGCACCATTTTAAATCT